AGCGGGGTTTGCAGCGCGCGGCAAACACTGCCTCAGTCTGACCCCAGCCCGTCCTCTCTTCCAGTTCCCGCTGGGAGCATCTCGCTCTCCAGCGAGCCGCCGCGATTTCGCAGAAGCGCGCGCCTCCCGCAGTAGAAGGTAGTGCAGGACCAGCAGGGTCTCGCACCACTATCTGGCGTTATCCATGGCGGGCGGTTCCGGCGTCCAAAACGGTGGGGCGCTGGGCCGCCGTATGAGGTGGCGTGTGTTTCACCGCGTGTCGGGCCACTGCCGTGAACGGGCGGGCTCAACTGCGGATGTTGGCGAAGGAACGGCCAGTCTGCTGGGTGCTAGAAAGTTGACTACCAATTGCTCAGCCGCCGCTCCTGCTTCTGTTGTGGGAAAACCGATCTTCGTGTGACGATCTGAGCGCGCTTAGCATCTTTGATGCGTTGGCGAGCTGCGCGAAGTACCGTTCTGCGAGTTGCAATGTTGCCTCTGGCAAGGTGCCGGCTCACGGCCCAGTCTGCCTCCGTCTGGTTGCGCATCTGCTCGCGCCAAACCGGGGCGCTGAAAGAATTTGGGCTAAAACATTCGCGCCTGCTTGGAGCAAAACGGGTCCCAAAAAGCGCGCGAAACCCTATTAGTTCCTCCTGCAAAAGCCTCATCCGCCTGGCCCGCCACCGTTTCATTGCTCAACCCGCTGCGCGGTGCCCAGGATGGGCCCCACACTCCGCAAAGCTGCGGAAGCTGCGGAAGCCGCGCCCGGGGTGCGGGTGGTCACGCCACGCGCCGGCAGGCGTGGCCGCCGAAGGTAAAAACGCCACCCCGCCCCGCGACGCCTGAAAACAACGCCGCCCAATGCTCCGCAGAAGCCGTCGTCGGCCTGCTGGATGCGGGCGGTAGGTGCAGCAGGGGCTCATTGAGGCCCATTTCCATGGCCAGGCACTCCGCCCCGTGGCCGCGCGCCAGCGAGCCGCCCCCCACCCCACCTCACGGGTGCCTGTCTGGCCCCAAACGAAAGGACGGCACAGCCAGACTTCGCTACACACTCAACGGAGCCATCGGATCATAGGGTATAGTGCGCATTGGATTTGGACGCCGCCCGCAGCATGCGGGCCCTGTGCTTACGGACCGGCGGCCGTGTCTTCGCCAAGCTTGCGTGCCTTAAGTTAAGGGACGCAGCAGCATGGGCAACGTCAAGCCACTGATGCTCGTGCACCCATCCGCCGCCAGAAGGAGGGCCAAGCGTATG